CGAATAACTAACTAATGGGTTGGAAAAGAAACTTTCGATTTTTGAACAAAAAACGAGGATTTGATTTTAGAAGAAATATTACTGCCGTTGATAATTGACTTTTTTTTTTGTTTTAACTTATTTAATAATAGGCTGGCAGAAATTATGTTGCCGTGATGACCGAAAGTAAGAGAATGTCGACTTTCACCGGTGAGTGTCCACAATCACTAGGGTGAATGTTCGAAAAATTTCTTATATCCGATTTGATATTCGTTGATATTATTTATTCCATATTTTAATATCTGCTGAGGAGAATGGCACTTAACTAAAGACCTAGTAATGTATTTCGGACATTTACCAAAAGCAAACTATATGTGATTGTCAACATTCACCGGTAGAAGAAGTCGACCATTTCGGTCATTCAGGGTAACCACTTTCTAAATAAATAAAAGTCTGGGTGGAAAAGAGTTACTCATTAGCATTAAAAAAAAAATCAGACCTATTAGTAGAGCAGTTGAGGCAATGTTGGAAAGATAGAGGTGTTCTCATTTAGTAACAATTCATCAGAGCGAAAATGAATTGAATGTGTAGGGTAACTGTTGGGCCATTTGGATCCGCGCTACCCATACCATAGTTTAAGATATTCTTATTATTGGGTTGTTCGGAAAATAATTTCGTTTTTCCCCAACAAATTTCCATTGTTTTTTTTCACAGCACACACAAAAGCAACTTCACACATTAGCAGCCTATAATTATTCTATATTTTGACAGCGGATATCAGGGCCGTCTAGCCCCCGGCGCAGAAATGTTTGTGCTTCTGCAACAAGTTATATCGTTCGAAATCGAACTAAAAAACTTCACATACATGAAAGGATGCATTTTTTAGGTATGTCATAATTTTAACACATTTTGATGACCCCAAAAACTCAAACTAAATTAAAGCATTTTTAAACTGTGCATCATTTTTAAAAAAAAATGATATTTTAATCAGTTGCAATCTTCAAATAATAAAATAATTTTCAAAACCATGAAAGCTAATGAATATAATTAAATTAAAAAAAAAAACAAAGTTATAACACATCAGGAAAGAAGAATAAAATGGTATGAAATATTTTGTCAAATTTAGCAGTTATTAAAAATCTCTTTCAATGTGCACCAGCCCCAACCAGTTTAAAATTTGCTGTCCCATAGTGCTGTGTCATTCTTCTTTAATCACTGAGATGAGTCATTGTGACTCAAGAAAAGTAAAATTTTGTGAATTTTACAGCTATCACTGAACTGTGGGGAAAAAATCAAACATTCTTGTAGAATAAAAAAAACGAGGTTATAGTTAAAAACGGTAAACGGAGATAGTTAAAAACGAAACTTTTCATTTTTTAGCCATTCTAAAATCTATGGGGAGGGGAAAAAGTTTATCAGTAATTCTATAATGGAAATGAAACTGTCTAATTTGAACAGTTGGGCAAGTTTTTAAGAGAAGAGGAGATTCGGCAAAGAAAAAAGAAGACCTTTTTGAGCAATACTGAATTTTGTCAGAAGCTTATTGATAAAATAAAAAAATATTTGTTTTTAATATCATGACATAGTAAATACTAAACAGCATGAAGGAAAGGAACTAAATTAACAATCACAACATGCAGCTGTTTAGTAGATTTGCTCATCCTTAAAAGTGATAGTTTACATAATTTTTCTTTTTTAATCTTAACTCATCACATTTGTTTACTTTGAAGTACAAATGTTTTATTTGACAAATATTTGAACAATAAATAGGTTTGTATCCTCAATAAGCTTGGTTAAAATTCTGAATCAATTTATAAACATCTTTTATAAAATGAGCAAAAACATTTTCTGCACAAATATTTTTCGATTGAGTGATGTACTGGTGCAGGAAAATGGTTAAAAAAAGTTTTTTTTTTTTTTTTTTTTAAAAATCCAGGATCATTAGTTTTATAATCAACTTTGGAAACTCTTCACTCATCATCTTTAGTGCCAGTTAAAACAAAATAAGCAAAAGTGCTTATATGAACTCAACAAGAGGGCCTTACTAGAATAGTAAGCCAACTCCATTTTTTTTCACTTCGAAACATGGTACTTGAAATTTTAATAAATGCCTTAAAGTAGACAAAGGGAATTGTTTTTACTGTCTTGTCCTCATTTTTGTCCAGTGGTCAGATATAACGCTACACAAGTGCAAAATTACTGTAGTCGATAACTTTTTTTGTAGTTAGCTTACTTATAGCTGTTTACGGTACTTAGTCTATAGCTATTTAAGGAAACTACTTTCAGCTTATTAAAGAAACAAGGTTCAAAAGCAACTAATTTTTCGAATCTGGTTGGTACAAATGAATGTGGGTTCGTCAATGACCACGATGAGAATGCCCCAGTAGTGCGAAAAAGGTATTAATAAGAATTACATATTACTAATTTTTCTTATTCCAAACCATTTTGAACATAGGTGTCAATTAAGTTCTCCAAAGTGCATCTCCTAATAGCAGTGACTACATCTTGAAAGTAGTAACTACATTTAAAAAAATGTGGTTAAGTTAACTACATTTGTAATAAAGTGCTTGTAGTTAACTACAAAAATAAAGTAGTCACTGGTTTTGTGAGCAGTAACAAGCAAAAGGTTACAAACAAGATATAAAAACCTTATGCACATGATAAAAGAGGTTTACTCCTTTTTTTTAATACATAAGTAGAGGTGGGCTACTAAACCAATCATATGTGCACTCATCAATGTCTGGAAACAATCATTTATGTTTTTTTTAATTCACCCCCTTTCAAGTTTTCACTTCAAAATTCTTTGTGATTTTTCATTTTTTGAACTGCTATAACCATTGAAAATTTTTACCAAAAAAACAGATAGCTTTATTAACGTATCTAGTTATTTTATTTAGATTTGAAAAGTTAAACGGAAAATGTTCATACAATTTTTCAGAAAGGCAGGTCCATTTTATAATTTAAAGATATTGTCATAAGAAAAATTATATTTTTTAAATAAATTGCCATTTCTTTCTTATTGACATTTTACTTTAAGTAATTTCATAAAGGCAACCAAAATATTAAATAAATATTGGAAAATTGATCAGATCAAAATATAAACAAGAAAAGTTTCAAAAATCATTACTAGTTAAAGAATGTCACATGATTCACGAAGAATCTTAGGGATCCAAAGGCATAGATAGCTATTTCTAAGAATTTACTAAATATTATTTTGTAACTGAATAAACTTTCATGCAGTGAAATATCCTAAATAATCAATGAATTGTAATTAAGAAACCCTATGCAACAATGCACAAAAGTGAAACGCATGTACCTAACAAATAAAAATTGTCCTTCCCAGGTAATTTCAATTATTAGGTAGAGGAAACAAAACATGTTTTTGGAAATTAAACTAAGAAAAAAAATATGAACGGCTTCCCAATTAATTTTAAAGATTAACTAATTTGACTATGAAGGGAATGCTATTAAATAAAATTATAGTTAAATTTTAAAACTAGAGTTTTACCATAATCAAGTTAATTTCTCGATGTATTGGTACTTCATGCACAACTTCAATTTTAACTTTTGTTCACCTCTCTTCGACTTTACATTATTTTGGTTTTGTAGAAACACATTTCAAACTATAAAAAAAAAATTATTTTTGGTTTCAGATAGCTTTCAAAGTACAAACTAAGCAACACCATCATCAACATTGATGTTATTTAAAAGTATAGGAGCGTGTGTTCAGTGTACTGAATTTCTTAGAGGAAATAAAAGAGCAGTAAACAAATACAAAATTTCAAGTATTTGATAATTTTGTATCTCTTTAATTAAAGATTCACTGTCAAAAAAGACTTAAAAAGTTGAAGGTCAAGTGAACAAATTCGAAAAAATGCTTTGAAATGACAAACTGGCTCATGTAAACATGAATGAATATTTCTCAGTTATTCCCTTATATTTAATGTGAGACAATTTCTTATTAAAACACCATTTTGAGCATAAGCGTAAAATTAAGTTCTCCAGCAAAGTTTGTATCTTTAAAGTAGTGAAGTAGTTACTACAATTTAAAGTAGTTGTCACTTAAAAAAAGCAGCTGTAGTTAACAACATTTGTAATAAGGTAGTTGTAATTGTAGTAAACTACAAAAATAATGTAGTTTTTCTAACCACTGGCTAAGAATGATAGTGGGTGAAAGAGATGCGCTTGTCTAGGGAGTCTGCTTTGGACCGTGGAGGACGAGACTTAAAGCCTAATGCGTAAAAAAAATCTTGATGATGAAAATTGCCTGTCCAACATTCTGAATGACCATACAAGAGTTATAAGAAAGTCACTCTTTATTTCATTATTTTAGATAATATTAAAAAAATTGAAAATTAATTTAATAAATATTTGAAATATTAAAGAATAGAAAATTAACTCAGTAATTATTACATGCAATAATACAAAAAAGTAAATTAATTTACAAATTACTATTTGCTATAGTTCAGAACAAGGGAAATTTTAAAAGGATGAAGTTGTGATAATCAAACAGAAGTTCTCATAGATTTTTTTAAACTTTTTTATTATTATTAATACATTATTAATAATACTCGCAAAAAGTGTTACTTTTCCTTAAACGTAAATTATTTTTAAATACGCCTTTCTTTCTAGTTTCATCAACACATATTGAGCTTCAAGTTCACAATGCATTCCTATGCCATGTAAAGGAAAAAAGTATTTAGTTTAATTTTTTAATTAATTTATTTATTTTCATCCAATTAATAATACAGAAAACATAATTGCAAGAAAGCTTTTTTTTTTCTTTAAACTTTGCATTAATTTAAATTTTGATTAGTATTATTATTATTTTTTACATTTTCATTGCATTTCGACATTTAAAAGATTGTTCAACTTTTCCAAATAAAACAAAATTCTATGGCATCTAATATTAATATGCAAAATAGTACTGAAAAATGACAATGATGTTGGCATTCACTTGAAACACGCATGAAAACTGAATACAAATTAAACTGGTTACAGTTAACATTTTAAAACCTTACTTTGTGAAATCTTCAATTGTAGCCGCTCTGGGTAAAGGTTGATGATCATCAGGCGGAGACTCTAACGGATATTCTGCGGGTATATTCACTATAAAAAATATATAAGAAACATGTAACAACGAAATACTTGACATAAAATTTAATTAAAGTGTTAAATGTAACAGGTAATCAACGTAAAACCTATCTTCAAATAAAAAAAATTATTAAATTAATTTACAGGAAATATGTGACACAAAGTTCGTCCCCTGCTTCAATTAATGATTGCTCTAATATGAGTTTCAATGTAACACCTCATTTATTGCAAATAGAGCTTTCTCGTTTTATATAAGTGTGTATTTTATAAAAATAAAGTTAACTACAAATAAAAAAATAAAAAACATTTAAGAAAAAAGTTGGTGCCTGGATCTTTTAATTTATCAAGTTAGATGAAGTCCATATGACGGTGCTAAATTTTAGGATACAGGTAAAATCAATGTCAATGAATGCGTAAAGGACTAATGCTATCCACTCTGTCTAATGAGGTAACAGATAAACAAATATCTTGCTTGCATTTCAATATAAAATTATCTTGCTTATTACTGATATATGACATTTTTAGGAGTCTAAGATAAATAAATTTGCTTATTAATAAAATTGTATTTAAAACAAAATTTGATAGAAAATTAAAAGTAAAAATAAATTTTCTTTTTCTACCCCATTTTTATTTTATATTAAACAATTTACAGACAACACGTTTATTAATTGTAATGTGAAAAATGCTTATATATAACATACATCACATATGATATGTACTGGATAAATATCGGGATTGTCACTACATTTATCATGTAACGACTTCACAATTTGTTATTTAAACATATTGTGAAAAATCTGTTTTTTTTCCGCAGATATTTACCAACTTTAAAAATACATGTTTCTAAAAAGAGATAATGTTATTGCCTTTAGAGAAAAAAATTTAAAAAATTTTTTTGTTTTTGCAATGTGTACAAACATTTATTTATTTTCATAAAAGAAAGTAAATTTATAGCAAATATTGTAAACATTAAGTTTAACATTGTTACTGTATTTTCATGAATATTGAAGAAAATATAGTCATTTCAGAAACTGTTCTAAAAAAATATGTCATAAATGGATATATATTTATAACTTTCAGATGAGTTGTGTATAAATGTATTGTCTACAGCAATTAATTGTCTGGTCATTTGACGTAAAATTATCAAAAACTTAAAACAGTTTACATTTTTACATCACTGATATTAGAATAAAAATCTTAACTTAAAATAACAAGCTTTAAATCAAGTATTGGCAAAAAGGTAAAGGCTAATAATTCCACATTATAACAAAATGTTAAAAAGCTGTGTTCAGTTTTAACTTGTTCAATGTTCAGTTTGAACTTGAACAATGAAACAAACTGAAAAAAAATTCTGTACCTTAGTGGGTACTAAAAATAATGCTTGTATGTTGTATAAATAATGTTTATCATTATTTTTGGTTATGTCTTAGTCCTTTCTTTTACTGTTATATTGTTTTTAAATATACTTTTTTTTTTAATTTTTAAAATAAGAAATTTATTTAAAAACAACATAGCACAAATAATTTTAAATAAATTTGCTTCATACTAAAGAAATATTGGAATTGTAATAAAAGTAAAATTCTGAAATGACATCTGAAAAGTCTTACAATTTATGCAAACTTGTTATGTTGAGTGTAAAAGTTACAAAAAACTGCAGCCGGCATTAAAAAAAATGAATTAATTTGAGATAAGATTTGAAAGATAACTTACAAGGAGGTGGGGTTATACTTTTCGCCCGGATGATTTCTTGTGTGTGTACAATGTTGGCCACAGGTAAAGGAGATGGATTTCTAGAGTGATTTCTAAACATACTGCCTGCAGCCTGTTTCACAACAGTCAGTATTACCCTATCCGTCGTTGCTTTAAGTGTCGCAACGGCTTCTTCGTGAGTGCAGTTTTCTAAATTAGTTTCTCCCACCTGAAAAGCAAATAACATCGGCTTTACATCTATTTATGGGGAATATCATTGCCAACCACTACACTACTTAGATTGATTGAGGGTGCTCCATAATAGCCGCTCTTAATATATATTGTTAGAATCTCTGTTAAAAACGAAGCCAATAAAGTACGCATATTAAAATCAAACATAAAGTGAGGGAGAAGAAAAAACTCTCGGCAAAGGAGAGTTTCGACCAGGGGGCTCTCCATAACAGTAATGAAAGAGATAGTGAAAACCTGTTTGATTTCTGGAAAAAATAAAAAGCAATTGAAAGGCCAGAAACATCTTCAAGTTTCATCAAATAATCAAACAGTTTTCATTTTTTTTTTAATTCCATTTTCCTCCATAATCTAAATATTTATTTACAACTCTATATTTTTTATTGAGATCTACTTTTACATTAAAAATTCCACAAAACGAAAAGAGTATAATTAAACTAAATTTAATACAAAAACTCAACTATTTATAGAAACTTTAAAATCTTTATTACCAAGATTTAGTTTTCATTTCCATGCAGTCAGTTTTTTAAATTTTTTGAGAAACAATAAAAATTGAATATTAAAAATTGCTTCAAACAGCAAGTACAACTGATTAATACTTATATATGTGCATAGTAAAAACTTTGATAATTTTTTTGTGTTTGTTGAAATACTCTGTTATTCACACCATTAAACTATTTTTCAACTGCAGTTTTTCATTGGTACTTCTAAATATTATTACTTTGTTCGTCATACTGTTATTTCAAAATTTAAGAACAATTGCAAGGTTTTTATAAAATTATCATGCACTTATTCAAATATTAATTTATTTATATTGAATGGTTGTCAAAATTGTTTCAAATTTAATTTAGATATTCAAGAAATAAATAGGAAGAAGAAATTTCACAACTATTTTAAATGTAAAAAAATAGAATTTTACGTAAAACGTGTAAAATTGGCAGTAATTAAATTAAACTGAAGTGTGTTAATTTGTATTATTCACATTGTCAAATGAGAAAGATTTTTTGTCAATTAATGAAATTTTTAATTTAATTGCACCATAAAGCTAAGCATAAATACTATTTTTAAGTATTAAAATCTACTGAGTAATCTTATCAATCCAATTATATCCTGTACAGCTTGTCAGAATATTAATAAAATTTATTTATCAACCTTTGATGTTATAAAAAAAAGGTAACAAATAGATTTTAAATTTTCAAAATTATACAATAATTTTTTAAACCTCTTTTGTTTTAATAGACATAAAAGAACTATCAATTCATATAACAAAACTATTTTAAATAATAAAATATTCTTGTATTGTCAATTTTGTTTCATCTGAATTCAACATCAGAAAAAAAAAAATTCTGCAATTTCACATTTTGTTTCATATGATGTTAAAATAAATAACTTACAGAAATTAATTTGTCTCCAACTTCTAACCTCCCGTCCGTGTGAGCAGCTCCTCCTTCCATTATTTTTGTTACAAAGATACCATTATCACTGGGAACATGTTGATTGCCTATTCCACCCGCGATACTAAAACCTAATCCTTTATTGCCTTTAATTAATTCAATATATTCTAAACCGGAAGAGGAATTCATTCGATGCCTTTTCACCAACTGAAATTCAAAAAGATGATGTTAAGTAAATGGATTTGTATTAAATACAACATATTATTCTAACTTATGAAACTATAACAGAAGCAATTGTCATTTTCACAGAAGGGAAATAAAACATTTTTGTTTCTGCATTTATCTCATAAAAATTTTCCCTAGCTTCAAAATCAGTTTTTATCATTTTCAACAAAAAATAAATAAAATTAAGCAAATTGAAAACAGACAAATCTTTGGAATTAAATCACTTAGCCAAAAATACTTACTGCATAACTTAATTTCATTCAAAAAAACAAAACAAAAAAAATCATCGAAGTTAGGAAAATTACCTACAGCCCTATCTTACAACAAAGCCACAATTTTATTTCCTACCATTTTGGAGAGAATTGTACTGTTGAATTATACTATATCCTTACATTATACCAAGAACAAAAACCATTGAAGAAATGAATATTAAAAATTAAACATAAAACTCAAGAGAATGAGGGCTTTAAAACACTTCAAGCATTCATTTTGATTTTTTTGGGGGATATCAATCTAGCTGTTTGCAAAGGGATGAAATTCTTTAGCATAGTATTTTTTATAGCTTTAGAGTTACTTTTCTATAGTTTTTCGTACCAAGAGACATAATTGTTGCGTAGTATTTCAACGTGAACCACGCAAAAATAAAAAATTCATTTGATGCTAGAAAAAAAAAGCATCCATGCATCTTAAATTGTTTTATTGTCCCATGGTATAATAGTTCCCTCCAAAAGTAAAACATAATGGCCATATTTATAACTGAAAAAATATTAACAACCAGAGTGAATAAAATCAATAGAATGCATTACATCTAATAGCAAAATAAAATAAAAAATATTTTGTTTGAGCATATGCAATGTTGCAAATTTTGTCCATGATTTAACGATCACTGTGATGTACCGTGTACGCAACTTTCAAACGCCGATGCTTTCCATTTAATAATTTGGACATAAGTCTCCCTGCAATACAACATATAGAAAAATTGCAAACAATTTTGAATACACCAAGTATTCTCAAACACAATGGAGATAAACTGTTTTTTGTTACAACAAAAGGTATGGATTCGGTATTGCACCTTCTTTTAGCACTTTTCTTCTTCCTGGGCCTCATTCTAAAGCTTATTTGCCTGGTTCGGAAATGTTCAGTTCGTTCTGCATTAAAGGACGAACCTATGACACGCGAGAAGTACATAATGAATTACTTTTGTTCGTTGAAAACATTTAATAATGTAGCAGCCATTATAGGCAAATTAAGAAAATAGCACAATTGCGTTTTTTTCCAGGACGGAAGAATGAGAGACCCAATTTCATTTCATGCATAACACAAAAGGTGCCTGCTTTACATAACTTTGTTTAATATCAAACTGAAATATTTTTAATATACTGTTTATACCATGTCTAATGGAAGCAAGTTCGTAAATAAACAGTAAATACAGGTAGAAGATTTTTCCATAGTTTAAAATCAAAGTACAGCATTTTATAGACTGCTTATTCTAAAATAAATAAATGAATGAAAATAACACGGGGCACACTAGACACCGGAAAAAGATGAATTGTAATTTAACTCGCACACACATCGCAAAACTTTTGCCATTTATGTGACTGTACTAGGTCTGTTCATACTGCTGCATTATTTTAAAGTTTAGAAATAAATTGATTTAAGGTTCGGAATGTTAAAATCAATAGTAGCGTTAATACTGCCTACTCTAAGAAGTTTCATACAAAATGTCAAAACATTCTAATATTGACACTATTTCTTTTATAAAAAATCAAACAATTCAAGACATATAATACAGAGATGTAATGTTATAAGTTTTCCTCTAAACAGAAGTTGGATGCATCAGCATTTTATATAAAATAAAATATATAAATCAATATCAACAAAAATATTATAAAAAGGCAGTTTTGAAAAAGTTTTTTCAAAATATCATGTCATTTTCACATTTTTTAAATACTAGTATGTTTTTTTTAAAAAGGTAAGCTGTAACTACATATAATAACTTAAAATTGAATAATGTTAGCTTTAGTAAAAAAAAATAATAATTGCCACTCATAAGTAATACATAGCTAGAAAAAAATCAAACTTATAAAAAATTTTTAATGATAAAATAACTAATCATTGAACAAAGTTAATTTATTCATTTCCATCCTGACATAAATTTTTCAAAATTTGGGAATAGTACTAAATCCAAAAGTTTTTTTTTTCTTTCTAATTATGGGAAAAATACAATTGACCTTTCAGTTTTAATAAATAAAAAAAACATTTAATATTTGTAGTAACAATTTAGGTACTTTGTAAAGTACATTTTTTGTAATAAATTTGGAACATAGATTATAAATTTGCTTAAACAAACTATTTCAGCACTAAAATCAAGATATTTTAAATATTCATTTCTTTTCAACTTTTTCAGTAGTAGCACAAGTGTTAGGTTAATATCAGGATACTTTTTTTTTAGCTGGATTCAAAAGTAGATTATAGGTAATTTTTTTAACAAACTAATATAACTTCATTGGGAACAAAAACAAACACATAAATACAAAGAATATATATATATTCGTCGTCAAGAGGAAAATCCATTTTCCATATTTAATTTTAATTTACAAAATACTAATTCAAAAAATTGTGATATGGGAATTAAAGGGTTGATTTAATAATGAAAAATGAAACCTGCTCTTGGTTTTAGTATTCTTAAAAGTGTGAAGTTTTCATTGTATCCTATAATAATAAATATATACATGCTTGTCAATGTATTTTTACAAGAGCAAATAACTTATCGAAGTCTATCTTAACGAATTAATAAAGCCCAAATAATTTTTACACAATAAAAATTAATGCAGAGAAAATCAAACATAATAGCAAAGGTAGTTTGTTTATATCATTTTTATTGTTAAAGATAAAATTTATAGACCATAGTATTATTAAAGTTCTAGTTCCATATTATAATTTATTTTTTACACATTTGTGTGTTGCAATTATATATTTTAACAAGGCTGCAATAATGGCATAGATGATTTAACAGTTATAAACTAAAACAAACTTCGAGGTCTGCACTTGCATATTTTTTTCTTTCTTTTTTGTAAAAATTCAGAAGATAACAGTTTCTACATTTAATTTTAACACTAGCAACTTCTGCAACGGTACATTCTGAATTTCTAGACTTATGAAAAAATATTTACTGGGCATTTCATTCAAAAAATTTTCAATGAAATTCTGATGAATCAAAAGAAATTTATATTGGAATCTTGATGTATGAAAGGAATTTTCAATGGAATTTTAATGTATGAAAGGAATTTTTAATGGAATTTTAATGCATGAAAGGAATTTTTAATGGAGTTCTGATTTTTAAAAAGAATTTTTAATGGAATATCATACTACGCTAACAAATTCATAAAAATTATGACATATGCAAGGAATTTTCACTGAAATACCCATATGAAAAGAATCTTCACTTTCAAGACACACTCAAAAGATTTCCACTTTCATTCAAATGGAATTTTAACTTAAGGAAAGAATTTTTAATCGTGCACTTTAAAGTTCTGATGGAAAATTCATTTAGATTGAAATTGAATTTTGTTCCAATATGACATCCTCATTGTACTCAGTGTCATACTTTATTTCATTTGAAATTAAATAATAAAATTATAAATCTCACGTTAAAAGTATAATAATGTCGTGTCAATAATTGCGATATTAAAACACAGAAAAATAAACCACTGAAGTAAAATCATATTAATGCAGGTAAAACTATTATTTTGGGGGGAAAAAAGCCATCAATATGAATAAAAATTATAGGTAAAAAAGGAAATGAAAGAAAAAGAATTACCAAATGAACCATGTTTCCTGCTCGTTTTAATGCATCAACTGCTATGGAATGAGGTATTTCAATGAGATCTACGTCGTTTACTTTTAAAATGATGTCATTTACTCTAAAAAATAAAACAAAAATAATTAAATATACTTTTCTCGTAACTAAACATCAATAAGATCTAGATAATTAATAGAATGTGCCCAGAAATGCATGGATATAAATTCCAAAAAATAAACATGCTAAATATTTTTAGGAGATGTGTTTAATCACTCTAAACTGAACCACTTCCTGTTTCACGCTTGTGAGTAAAAGCAAAGGACACCTTAAATAAAGTATCTTTTTCTTATTGCAGATTTGGATTCATCAGAGAAAAAAAATCTCTCAATATAACCAACAAGTATTAACATTTTGTCTCACAGACAGTGCCGGATTACCCCTTAGGCCAGACTAGGCCATGGCCTGGGGCCCCCAATGATTAAGGACCCATATAAAATGGATTTTTTGAAAATAAATTTTAAAAAATTAAGAAAAACAGTGATTTAAAAAAAAATCTATTTCAAATATATACTATTAAAATACAATAATATTTTTTACATAACGTTAATCATATTTATTTATTACTTACTTTAGTTATTATTTATAAGTATTATATAAATAAAAAATATACGAGAAAAAAAATTTAATCTAAGGGCTCCCAAAATTTGAATGGCCTATGGCCCCACATACGCTTAATGCCGCACTGCTCACAGAAGGCACTTTAACTGCAAAATGGAAATAGGGTACAAGTCATTTAAAATAGAGATACCTTACTAGATGAAAATAAAAATAAATGCGGTTGATATTTTGAAACAAATTTAGATAAGTTTGTAAAACACACTTATTTTTATTTTAAACATGTATTTTTATTGAGAAGTCTCTATTTCGAATTTCCACTTTCATTCTGTGATGAGAGTGCCATCTGTGAAAATCTGCTATTTTTAGATCTTTGATCACAGTGCTCGAAATATTCGGCTGTTTCCATACTTTTTAGACAAAAGCAGATAAGACAAGCAAATAATAGAATTCATAAATAGAAACATAATTAAGTCACAAATTTGAAATGTGCTTCTTTTTTTCTAATTTTATTCACAATCAGGCTTAGGTTGACTTTGATTTTTTTTTTTTAAAATAAGTTCCATTTGTATTTAAAATGTTTTGATTGCTGAAATACTATTAATCATATTAGGTGGCTAAGGTGAGCTCGGGGGCTGTTCAAATATGACCATAGGAAGGGAGTTTGTGATTGGCCAGTAGTTAATCGCTTTATGTATGCATTTATGTATGTCACTTAACCTTAAAATATCACTGTTGGATATACAGGATAAATGTTATACGAGACAGTGGTACTCGGTTATACACAAAATTTAACCAAAATTTAATTTAAAATTGAAGGAGTACCAAAAATATAATGTATAAAAAATTACTACTTCTTTAAAATTGTATTATTGATAAAAAAAACTGGGGCAACACTAATTGATGTATCCCCCCCTCCACTACAACCTTGATTCTGTTGTTGGCCAGTCTTATCAGATAATGTTTTATTTTATAATTGAAGGAGGAGAGAGGGTCACAAACCCTTCTAAAGAGTGGATAAGAGGTATGAAGAGCAGTCCACTAGAAAACCATTAGGGCAATCCGCTATCACGGTTGTGATTTGCTTAATTTTTCCAACACGTGAGGAAGCGAGGTTACGACAAACAATGTTAACGTAAGACATAAATATATTTTCCATATACATTTCACACTATACTTCAGTTCCTTATAATTTTCCATACTTTCACATTTTTTAAAAGACAAAAAAACAAAAAATAATAATAATGAATAAAAATAACAAATCCAAAATTTTCATACCTGAAATTAAATTTAGGGGAAGAAAGTATTAGAAAAAAAAATTCTTTGAAGAGTTTTAAAAGCCAACACTATTGACCACAGAAGGAAAATACAACATTTTATTGAGTGAATTGAAACGAAAACTTTGTTTTGTGCAAGCAGTATCGTTTACTTGAATTTTATCCTAAAATTAGATTATACATTATACACTCGATATCTCGAACTTCGATGCCTAGAAAACCTCACTATGTCAAAAAAATATTCTTCCCCTATGGCATTATAATGTTAATTTGAATTCCTATGTCTTCTCACAACCTTGTTACGTCAAATTTTTTTGACTAAACAACAATGTAAGTTCATTGTAAACCGATTATTTTCTATTGAATGTGTCATTATTTTTGTCCCACTTTTAAAAATAAAATTATAATTTTTGCATTTAGATTCATAGTCAACTATCATTACATATATATTTAATAGTAGCTATTCTTATGCTTCACGACTCTACTTTTCAGAGCAAATATTTTAGATTATGTTTTTCTATATGAATATATTTATTTCTGAACTTGTTATCTTGAAAACTAACTAACTCGAAATTTTTTTAGAATCCCTTCGACTTTGAGAGTATACTGTAGTAAAAGTTGAAGTGAAAAATAAAAGGGGCAGTCCACAATCCCCGAAAATTTCCTTACGTAATATTTGAAAATTGGCCCAGAATTGCAGTCGGTCAAGTCATCTCTTACTTCAAAATGTACATTTTTTATATATATAAATACACAATGCAATAGTTGACAAAACACACAAATAAGATACCCGACATGATTAATATGAATAAGAGAGTAAGCAACTTACTGTAGTCGTCCATCAGCGGCTGCTGCACCTCCTTGTATAAGCTTTGTAATGTAAATACTAGGATCATCCCCCACATGAGGGTTGTCTGTACCACCAGCTATACTAAAACCTAAACCAGCTCCACCCTATGGACAAATAAAATAAAAAGTAATAAACCAATTTTTAAAAAAAATCATAATTTGACATACATACACACAAATAGAGATCCTTAAACCATCTACCCTTCCATATAACAGCATAAAGATCAACCTTCAGTTAAATATGAATCTCACACTCCTGCGTCACACAACAGATCCTTTTGGATTCGCTTTTTTTTTTTTTAACTCTTTATTTTTATTGCATCCGATATAGCTTGAAAGCAAAAAATTCCCACATCAGCCTGTTGTTAACTAGCCCAGAGTAACCACAATGGAAAAAATTTTAAAAAGTGGTAGAGAAAGATTGAAGAAAAAAGTTGATTTTTACCAATTCTTATCTACCAATGAAGGTAAATATATCCCGGTGTAAAAACTAATTAATTTTCTAAAATGGAATTAAAACAGTTCAAATTTACAATAACTTCATGAAGTGTAGGTCACCAGTTTTTAAAATTTCCCTGGTTGTGGTCGTCCTTCTAGGAGATTATGGCACTTCACAAACAAGTTGGGTTGGCTACAAGTCCTCAATGAGTTCGAGCTCCAGTCCTTCACAATAACAGAACAGTGCTCTCTACCACCGAACCATCACAGTCGGCTATGCCGTGCAAAACTGTTTCAATTTTGCCAAACAGAGCGACTCATAACTATAATTTGGGTTGATTTTGGCTTTCAGGGAATTTAAGCCTACACTGATATCATAACTTGTGTGCATTTATTTCTCAAAATATGAAGCACATGTTAACATTTGTATGCTACTCTTAAAATTTTTTTTATATGTGATACAAGTAGAACAGGCTCATAATAAACTTAAGATTATGATATCAATAAAAAAAATGGTACCTATTACAGATAAAACCTTTTTATCATAATTTTCATATTAAAAATACCCGAAAAAAATAAAATGTATACATATTTTAGCTGAAAAAAATTGAGTTCCAAAAATTGCCAATGGGTCAAAATAAATAATTTTTAAAATCTGACATTAACTTTTCAAGAAGAAAATATAAAGAGAAATATCACTGAAGCGTAAACTACTTACAATTTAAAAAAAAATATATATATTTTTGTAAGTATTTCTTTAATGAAGCCCTTATGGGAAACCATTATTAGTGTTGCCTGAAACATGGCTTCTAAAGAGGCACCAAGATAAACTCTTTAGTTTTATTAATAAAAAGTTTTACAAGAATTAAAAAGAAAAAACACTACTAAAAAGAAGGCAAATTTAATATGTATATGTTACCGTGAATGACCGAAATCAAGAGAATGTTGACTTTCACCCGTGAATGTCCACAATCACTTTGGTGAATGTCTGAAATATTTGTTATATCCAATTTGATTATAACTTATTCGTCGATATTATTATATTTATTCAATATTTTAATATCTGCTGAGGATATTTAGGAGAAACGTCAGTGTTCGGAGTACCGGTTAAATGCATACCAGTGGCACTTACATAGACCTAGTATATATATTTTGGACATTTAACAAAGCGACTATGTGTGCCTATCATATATATATATATATATATATATCAGTGTTTTCACTACAGCGCGAGAATCTCGCATATTTTTTTCTTTTCTCCCATTAAAAAATGATTACCGCGAGACATTCGCGCATTCTATAAATCAATTTCAAAATTCGCGAATTTCTCGCATTTTGGAAAAAGCATCGAATTATGCCTATTAGAATAAAATCATTTCACTTTTCTTCCTGGATCTTTCATTATTTTCAACATTTGCCCCGTTATCTAGCTTCCCTATTTACCAGTATGGTTCAGAACTTTTTCGAACAACAGAACACAACCCCTCCGAACCACGGAACCCCTTTCAGAACACATTTCTCTGCAACCACGTGTTTACCGCAGGTAAGGTTTTTTCATGTATGACGTTCAAATTTTTTATGCACTAATGTAAGATGGACAAATACCTAGTAAAGGCAAAATCTTCAATGATGATGCAGCAAGAATATTCAATGCTTTAAAAAATAGAAGACGTTAAAAATGTATTATAATGAAAGAAATTTTTTTTTCAAGTCTATTTGTATTTTTTCAGTTCTTAGAAATCTCACTTAACTTTCTGAAATCTCACCCTGTTTTTGAGAAAGGGTGAGAACTTCTCACCCATTTTTTTTTCTATGATGAAAACACTGTATATATATATATTGATAGAATAGTTAATGTTTTGTTTCCATTATTTAGATAATAAAAGACTGGATTCAACTAACTAGTTAAGAAACTATTGTTATGATGCAATTAAAATAAATAAAATGAGAGATAAAAGAAAAACAAATTACCCTTTCTAGTGTGATTTCTTCATACTCCCATTCATCGTCACCATTTGTCTACAGTGGAAGAAATTATATATATTTTAGTACAGAAAGAACAAGTAGTAAATATATAAGTGGTAAATCTTTGAGGTGGCATTAAAAATTTTAACACACTTTAGCAACTGCAAGCTCTGTATTGTTAAAAAAAAATAGTGGTTGCTAAAAAACGATGTATGTTTATGCATTTATTCTTAAACAAAAAATATATTACAAAGTGACAAACTAGGTATATGGTTGTATTGCGCTCATACTTTTGATAATGATTTGCTAGAATGATATTTACTAAAAATATTAGATTATTTGAAAAATAATCATGAGAATGACAAGACGATTAATACAATAATTCAATGTGTAACAAATAATAATTGGATTAATCTTTAAACTGACTCAGTATAGACGTGTGGTGCATTACCCAGTAATTCTTACCTTTTAAAATTGAATATTATTAATAATAACCAAAAAGACGGTTAAAATAAAACTCGAATTTCATAAAATTAATTTATTGAATAAAGAAAATGTTATTTTTTTCTTGGTTGTCAACTCAGTCATACTTTTTAACAAAAGAAAGAATATTAAAAACAGACAGAAAAAAATTGCTCTTTCTCCGCAATTTACATCTACTGAATCATACCACGATATTTTGTTAAAAAGCATTTGTCATTGTATACAATGCCACCATTTATACATTGTTTGTAACATAGATATAAAAAACGTATATGGAAGAAAAAAATGATCAATGAAAATTACTTACAAATGGACTTGAAATATTCATAATATTAAGTTGCATCTGCAAAAAAGAAAAAAAAAGTTTTAATAAAAACGTAAGTTTAAAAAATAAACAAAAAACTACACAATGGAAAAATAAATAAAAAGTTCAAATGAAAAAAATGTTAGAATTACATGCCTGACTTGGAATTTTAGGAAGATTTAATTTTTACATTTAATCTGGTAGCCACTTTCATGCACTCAATTCTTGTTTTAATAAATTTAATTTAAAATGATTTTGACAACTGTTACGCTTAAATGATTTAAATACACATATTTAAGATATACTTCTCCCCTGTCACAGCTAACTATTCTTTTCATAATAATAAATGTACGTTACTAATTTAAAATAACAAAAGCGCTGTGTTTACAAAAAGAAAAGAAAAAAACTATATATATATATATTTTTTAATTGAACATGTAATTTTTATTCTAATATTATCGGCGATCTAAAAAATAAACAATATTATTCTAATATTATAGGAAGGGGGGAGGACGCAGAAATTATTCCCTTCGCCTTTTGTAACTAATCATCACAATAAAAAAAAAAGTTACAAATCATTAAATCCGTAGTAGTACTTGCCGAAAAAAGAAGATCGATTACAAAATTCGTTTTTGATTAGGCTGTTGTAATAAATAATATCGGATTTAAAAACTATGGAGAAGTCAATAGCAGTAACTGATGAAATTCGACAGAATTATTGCCTTAAATACACGATTCGAATTTTCCGTATTGTTTATCGAGATATTTAAAATCTACGTGGAAATAAATACTGACGAAAATACAATCAAAACATTACGATACTATAAGGCGTATATTGAGAGCGTCAAAAAGTGATTACCTAAATGCATGATTCAAATATAACAGGTAAATTTGTGTCAAAAAATAAAGTTTTTTAAATTTTTTTTTAAAACTTTTCAAAAGAAAAATATTTCTGCAAGAACTCTGTAACGTTCTGCGACGTGTCACTGCGATTGTATCATGGGGGACTTCTCATCGCTATGTGTTTTGATCAGTAGTCTAAATATAAGTGAAATGTCTGCCTACAATGTCAATCCAGATTTCATTTTACTATCTTTAATGTGCATAAAAGTTGGCAGATTTGGAATTATTATTATTATGTCATTCGATACAAAAACAAGTCTTCCTTTGCTAATTGTTCAGCAAACATACACTGGCGTGCAAAACTTAAGCAACAAGTGGTTTTTCGGCCCATACCTCCCCAACAAAGTATAAGATAGCCATGAAATTGCATTATAATATGCACGTAATTCAGTAGAAAGATTATTTGTATGCAAATTTTAGAAATAAAACGTCGTAGGTGATGTAGGTGTACGTAAACCTTGTGGGTCGGCGCGGGCAGGTCAAAGCTGTGATAAAAGGATGAAGAGCACCGTAGTTAAAGACATTCGCTGCAAGTGCAAGTGATTTGTTTTGTGAAACATGTCTTCAAGAAATCATTTAGACGACTTTACTCGAGGAAGAATGATTGGGAAGCTTGAGGAGGGGCGTAGTGTGACCAGTGTCGCCGAAGAGTTCGGGATCAACAAAAGTGTTGTTTCTCGTGCTTGGAATGCCTTTAAAACTACTGGTACAGCTGTTCGGAAGGTTGGTGGTGGCCGTCCAAGGAAAACAACACCAAGAGATGACCGTTACATTGTCCTCCAGGCGAAAAGAAACCGTTTTCAGTCAGCGAGCGCCATATCTCAGCAACTGTGCACAGCCACAGGACGACAAGTATCAAGATTTACAGTGGCCAGACGCCTCCACAAAGGTGGCTTATTTGCTAGACGTCCTGAACGCTGCATACCTTTAAAAGTTAGCCATCGGCGGCACCGTTTAGAGTGGTGCAGAGAACACGAAACCTGGACACCTCATCAATGGAGTCGCGTCCTCTTCACAGATGAGAGTCGTTTTAGTGCTACAAGCGATTCTCAACGTCAGTTGATCTGGAGAGAGGTTGGAGCTCGATTTCATCCCAATAACATCGCGGAAAGAGATCGTTACGGTGGTCCTGGAGTTGTCGTCTGGAGTGGCATTATGTTGAACGGGCGGACAGAGCTTCAGATCTTCGACCTATGTTCTGTAACTGGAGACCGCTACTGCAATGAGGCAATCCTACCCCATGTGCGTCTGTTCCGAGGGGCCATTGGTCCAGACTTCATTTTTATGGATGACAATGCCCGGCCACAACGTACTGCTAATGTGCAAGAGCTACTGGAAAGAGAAGATATCACACGAATGGATTGGCCAGCTTACTCTCCAGATCTAAATCCCATAGAGCATGTGTGGGATGCATTAGGGAGACGTCTTGCGACACGACAGTATCCTCCTGGTAACACCCATCAGCTGAAAGATGCGTTAAAGGAGGAATTGAGACGTTTACCCCAAGAACTCCTGGATAATCTGGTGCTTAGCACGGAGAGACGATGCCAAGCAACAATTATAGTAATGGGAGGGCATATCCCATACTGGGGAACATCTGCCAGTTGTACATACGCTTCTTCAGGCAATCATGTGTAACGCCATTATATGTCAAATAAAGCCTTTTTTTGTTCCGTACCCTACTTTAAGCTTCATATTCATTTCTGCGTCATTCGTTTAAGTACAAAATAATGTACATCATATTCAAATTTCATGTCAATCGGATGATTTCCTGTAGAGTTATGACAAAAAACGCACTTGTTGCTTAAGTTTTGCACACCACCAGTGTAGTTCCCTGAGCAGTGGTGGCTCAGGGGGCAGAGGGTTCGTCCTCCAATGAGGTGAACTGGGTTCGAATCCGAGCGAGGGATGGTCGATGCGAATTCCGCATTCGGCTTGCACCGCCCACAGTGCTGAAATAAAATATCCTCAGTGATAGTCGAACTATGGGTTAGAGTCCCCTTGCCGTCAAGTTAACCGATGGAGGTTTCCGCGGTTTTCCTCTTCATGCAACACCAAATGCGGGTTAGTTTCATCAAAAAATTCTCCATGAAGGCAAATTTCTCCCCAATACTTGATCCAGGAATTCCCTTGTCTTCTGGAATGGGTTCAAAATGACAAGGCTATGTAGTTGAACATTAATTGTCATAAACCCAAACTTGGGTAGGCTGTTCACAATGACGGTTACAAAATAAAAATTTACACACGCAGAAAAAAAATTATTGATTTCTTCAGACTAATTTTACGGAATTTTCCGGGAGTTTTTTTTAAATTCGTGACATACATTTTACTGTTAATTTTTTCAGTTATGCATTTATTCTTAAACATAAAAGATAATACAAAACACTTATATTTGTTAATAAAAATAGACAATTTTTTAAAAAGAAAATATTTCAAGATCCAATATTTTTTTAGATAAAAAATATCTTGCTTTAGGTGCAATTTCTTAATATTGAAACTTCATTCACCTTCAATTAATTTTTCGATCGCAATAAAAATATGTTTAAAAACTACAGCAAAAAATTTATCCCCAATATTGACTTTCTCATTTTAAAAACTTATTTTGAGTCAATTATTCTAATTTTATATCTTGACTGGACACAATTTTACAAAATTTATTTTTAAAATTTAATATAATTTATTTCATGGTTGTTGGTAGGCATCACAACTCTCCACTGCGTTTATTTCAGCTCACTTTCTTGCGTGTGACGATGGAAAATCGATGGTAATCTAAAATCGGACCGTTTTGCGAAAGCTAAAATTTCAAATGCAAATTCTGTGCCCTATGACAATAGAAGCTTTAATCGTCTCCAAACCGAAACAAGTAGAATTTATCGTCAAACGAAATTTCGACCTCTTTCTAACTAACTAGAATTCTCATATTTTTTTTATAATCCTGCTGCCCATTCCATTGCATTTGTTCCCTAAATTGTGCAACTATAATATTTCGCTATTTCATCGTCAATGGCAATTGCGACGACTTTCCATTAACACACACCATCCAATCATCGTCAAGCACCTGGATCCCGATTTATCAGGTTCTATCTTTTAACAGTCATGACAGAATGTCAGTCAGACGATGTGGACAGCGCCTGAGCTGGCATCCTCCAACTTCCACACCCACGAGAGGAATTTTAGTCAAGATAGATGATGGATGGTTGACTGAATGTAAATAATAACAAGCTTCCTAAAACTGGAAGAAACTTCTGGTGTATCCCTCCGCCTATGTTATGCTGATGTGTGAACAGGCTTCATATTCTAGGGCAGGGATGGCGAACCAATGGCACGCGACACAATATTTTGGGCACTCCACCAATCACAAAGTTCACTATGTGTGTCTGTGTGTGTCTCTGTGTGTGTCTCGGTGTGTCTGTGTGTGTCTGTGTGTGTGTCTGTGTGTGTCTGTGTGTGTCTGTGTGTGTGTNNAATTACGCGTATAACTGAGACATTGCAAAATGTTTTTTTTTTCAATGTAAATAAAGAGTTTTGAGTTGATAGTATTTAGTACTATTATTTTCCCAATAATCACGAAGTCAAAATTATTGGACGGCACGTCTATGACCTCATTAAACAATTTTTTAGAGAAAATGGCACGTTGGTGTATAAAGGTTCGCCACCCCTGTTCTAGGGAAAGCGTTATTATCGTAAATTTGTGTTTAAATGTATGCGTAATTTTACCACTCATAAAAGCTTTCTGTTTATAAATTCTAAGAGGTCGTGAGCCTTACATAAAATGAATATCACAACATAAATAAAGTGTAAGGTTTGCCATGTTTTGAGTGTAAGTTAGTCACCTCTTTCCGGTGTTCGGTATCGAAAGTGCGAAATTTCATTGATGAAAACCATTATTATTACGTTACATTGTTATATCATTGTTATACTCATTTATTTGGTTATGGTGCCTTTTAGTTTTCGAACAGCGCCAAAAAGCTAAATTATTTTTTTTAAAAGCTAAATCATTTTTCAAAAGCTACATTATTTTTTTATAACTGCTGTGAGTTTGCAACAGTTACTCTTAGTAGTAGCTACAGTTACTCATCAAGTTTAGCCTACCTAAAGCCTATCTACGCTTATTTTGAAAATGGCGCAAAACGTCA